AAGTGTAAAGAAGAAGAAGAAAAAACCCTCTTCCCAATACATCAATACTTGTTTTTTTTACTTTATTTTCAATTAAAATTTTATCAATAAGAAATTTTAATTTTAACTTGTGAATGCATAAATATTTGTTTTCTACTTGTTTTTCTAATTACATCTGTTGTAGATCTTTATGATATAGTTTTTTTTCTGTTAGAGTGTGAATTTGATGTTTTAATCTCTCATTTGTTGTATATTTTTGTTAATCTAAGTTTTAACTGTTGTTAAGTTGTGAATGTATAATTTTTTTTAAATTAAACTTCGAAGTTATTATACTAGTTTGTGAAATTTTCTATATTAAATTGTGTATTAATTGTAATACGTGTTTTAAGATGATAATATGGATGTGAATACTATTTTTTGTGTATTAAAATGTGAATTTAGTATACTAAGCTATGATTTTTGTGTTTTTAATTTTTAAATTTTCTTTGTAAACTATGAATTAACTGCACTGAGTTGTAAATTTTCTGTTTGATTTGTAAATTGACTAAATTAAACTATGAATTATGTGTATGAAATTATGAAGTTACATTGTATTAAGCTATGAGTTTTATGTATAAACTTTGAATTGACTATATAAAGAGTATTAAGTTGAAAATATGGTTGTGGGTGCATATTCTTTGTGTATTAAACTTTGAATTTTACGTACTAAACTGTGATTTTTGTGTTTTAAACTATGAATTGACTGCATTAAACGGTGAATTTTCTTCTTAGACTATAAGTTGATTATATTAAGTTGTGAATTTTTTGTATTAAAGTATGAATTGATTTGTATTAAGTTGTGAATAAATTAACATTAAATTGTGATTATTTTATAATTTTTTTGTTTGCTTTTGAAATAATGTAAATATTATTCACGGTTTAATATATTAAATTCACAATTTAAAATATGAATTATTTATGTATAATTTTTTTTTGTTAATTTTCTTCTGAATATATTTATTTTTTGTGTTGTATAAGTATGTAAAAAATACATTAGTTTTAATAATAGTTTTGCATTAAATTTTAAATGAGTGAAATAAATGGTTTTATTAGACTTTGAATGTAGTATTTTAGTTATTAATGCACGACTTTATTTACATATATGTATTAAGATGTAAATGAATTGACATTAAGTTGTGACTATTTTATATTTTTTTCGTTTGCTTTTTAAATAATATAAATTTTATTCATGGCTTAATATCTTAAATTCACAATTTAAAATATGAATGTTTTATGTATAAGTTATTTGTTAATTTTCTTCTGAATATATTTATTTTTTGTGTTGTATAAGTATGTAAGAATACATTAGTTTTAATAATAGTTTTACATTAAATTCAAAACGAGTGAAAGAAATAGTTTCATTAGATTGTGAATGTCGTATTTAAATTATTAATGCATGACTTTATTTACAGATCTGATTTAGAAGAAAATGATGGTTGTGATGCCGATATAGGTGGTTGGTGGCAGCGCGTGGTGGTGGTAGTAGTAGAGTTTGAATTTTTGATTTCTTTTAATTTGTAAATTATTGTAAAATGGTTTGTATTAAGTTGTAAATTTTGTGAACTAAACTATAAATGGACTGTATAAACTTATAATGTATATCAGTTTTTTATTCAAATATGAGAGTATATAAGAATGAAAATATTATACTGTAAAAATTATAATTTTATTCTTTTTGTATCAAAAAGAGAAAAAAAAAATTTAGGATTTTCACATGTTTAATAAGAATATCATGTAAATATTTACTAACTAATGCATCTCCAACCCACCCCAAACTTCATTTTCCCCCCATTTCTTCCCCCATTCTTCTCCAACCCTACCTCATTTCCACCTCCATTTTTGGAGATATGAATAGTATTCCCCCATATTTGGGGGAATACTATTCATATCTCCAAAAATAGAGTTGAAGTTTGGTTGCCAATTTAAGTTCCTCTAATTTTAATTTTATACATTTCTAGTTTATTTTATCTACTAATTCTTATATATATATATATATATATATATATATATATATATATATATATATATATATATATATATATATATATATATATATATATATATATAAGATGACCATCTTTATGAATAGTGAACTTGTGTACTTTTTGGCAAGAATAGCCCATGGATGTGTTGTTTCCGTTTTGTTTTTGTACCTTGGCATTTTATTGAAATATTTACATTCTTTTATACATGTGTTGATCATCGTTTGGGTTTATTCGCTTCCGATCCTTCCCACCGCGTCCTTATCCAATATCTTCCGATTCCAGCTCCATCCCATGTCCCCTTTGATTTCTTTGAAATTTCAGATGACCACCAGACACCTTACCTCCAAGGTAACCGTCCCATCACTGTTCCCTCGCCCAATCATATACGCTTGCTTCCACTGCTTTCTATTTGTTTCAGTCTTTTGGTGACGATCAGTCTCCAGTTCCACCGCCTCTCACCGATTATGTTCCCCTCATCTTCTCCCGTCTCTCTCTCTCTCTCTCTCTCTCTCACCCCTATATCTGGACGGTGACCCATTTTCTCCTATATCCACCATCACCTGCTTTTGCTAATATCCACATCCGACCTCTCATGAACGCAAATGGCAAAGATCCGTGTTCTCTAGCCACGATGCACCGACTCAAAGTTCCAATAGCATTGCTCCAGATACCCACCGCCTTCCTCTTACCGTTTCATCCTAATCTTCTTTTCTCCACCGCCTGCTCACCCGATATCAATGTCTCCTGTGACATCCCCAAAATCACGGCCAGAAAAGACCGATTTCATTTATGCTTTTTAAAATAATTTCAGAGTAAATCCTTTTGATTTAAAAGAGTTGCGAAATTTGTTCCCAAAAACAAAATATGATAAAATAATATTTATCAAAGCATTTCATCAAGAGATGCATTTTCATTATATAATCAAAACTCGGGATGTCATGTTCCGATACAGACCATAAAGCATAAACGATAACATTACAAGTCATTCAACACATATATACATATACAGACTTGTAAACAAAACAACTCGATGATTCATCTATCTTATGCCCTTGCGCCACTTCCTGTAATACAAATAAAACTGAGTGGGTCAGGCTTGGGAGCCTGGTGAGCATATAGGGTTTTCAACCCATAATAAATAAATTATATTTAATTTCACCAACCAACAATAACCCGATTACCCATTCCCGTTATCCTCACTTTACATCCCTAAAACAACATGTATCTCAGAGACCTAATCTAGGATTTTCATTGGGACGGACATTACTGCTAAGGGGTTTCCTCAACAATAGATATCCTAAAGGCAACCATGAGGGGGATAGAGTACACCGGTGAACACATCGTTCACAACACCTACAAGTTATGAACCTGCTAGCGTTCCACAAGACTGTCTAGAAGGAGTCTGTGGTCGTTATCCATACTCCGCTGAATAACTAGGTCAACAACAACAAAATCTAGGCCTCTCATCTGTTTATCACACATCAACTATCTACCAATGTTCTACCCAACATATTAGTAGATAAAAAAATATATATTTTTATACGTAGTTTAAAACCTGTATAGAATTCTCATTCAATACATATTCCACATAACAAATGAGGCACACCCACATAACACGTATTTCATAGAGAATAAATCATATCTATGAGATAGAAGAAAGTGATTATACATTCACACACATAACAACAAAATTATATACATAACACGTATTTCGTATAAAATACTTCATAATTATGCGTTAGAAGAAAGTAACTACACACTCACTTGATCAGAAGATGATCGGACAACACTACGACTTGAAGAAGTAGTAATCCTTAGTAGATCTGGAAGATCTTCACAAAAACCGGGCTTCTCGCGAGCAGAGCTTCGACTCGGGAATTGCACTTCTCGGGATCTTCGGGGCTCGGGAATAATATCGGGGATTCGGGATACTTCTGGCATGCAAAACGATTCAAAACGGGAGAAAGAGAAGAGAATTTGGCAAATGGAGTCGATTGCCCTCGCAACCCTTTTATAGGAGGCTGAGGCCTCGCAGTACGTTGGGCGTATTGCCTTACGCGGGGTGTACTGCCTCCGAAATCGTCACTGCATGCGTCATCCGAAGAACTCGAGTGTGAGGCGTGTCATGCTTCGTTGTACGCTGGGCATACAGCCCTACGCTGGGCGTAACCCGGATAAGTCCGGTGACTCCTCTTCGGATAATGTCGGATTTAATAATTAAATTTAAATTTTAATTATTTAATAAACTTCAAAAATCCATACCTTCTTCATACGAACTCCGTTTTCGATGTTCTTTATATCCACGCGTAGGTGAGACTACGCTCTACAACTTTCATTTAGACTCCGTCGGCTAATTTTGAGTTTATTTTTATTATTTATTTTTAGTAGGCCGGGACAGGAAAACTCCGTTATAAAATCATAACTTCTTCATCCGACGTCCGTTTCATCTGTATTTTCACCAATGCGCTACTATCAACGAGATATTCGATTCTCGTTTAGATTGTTTCAACCAACAACCACTCGATCTCGAATTGAGTATTCGGGTTGCATACTGCTAAGTCGAAACGTTAGAAAATTGTAACTTCCTCATACGAAGTCCGATTTGGGCGTATGTTTTATGCATACTCTCGGTTTAACGAACTCTACGACATTCGTATAGATCACTATGGCTAATATATCGCTCTAACGTAAATTTCACTTTTTACGTCATTCAGCGTTGCCGGTTCTGTCGTGAAACTTCGACAGGTCATAACTTCTTCGTTATAACTCGGATTTCGGCATTCTTTATATATTCGGAAACCTCATTTCAACTACTACAACATTATCCATAGATATAGAGCTTATATAACATTTCATTTTGACGCTTATTTTTAGTCTTAATTCAATTAAGTCACATAGTTAAGAACAAAACACATAATACTCAAATAATACACTTCTATTATTTCAAAACGGGTTACAAAGGTTAACCTAGACTATTATATCAACATTAATGACAAGCCCAGAAACACAGGCGTTACATCTCCACCGCTAACTTCCCACATACAGTTCATTTTTTTTGCTTTCCCCTCTCTCTCATGCTTTCCACAATTTCTCCTTTCTGATCCTTGATGTACTCCCGCTCCGACCACTACCGCCGACATACAACTTCATGCTTTTTATTTTTCGATATTCGGATCCATCTCCATAGTTTTGTTCGGGATCATGACAATTCAAAGGCGGTGGTACGCATCTGTTGTATGCATCTTTAAGATAGCAAAAGAAATCATATCAGATCCCGCTTCAATTACCGTTGATTTCGTCTCTCACTGCCTTCGAGCATCCACTACCGCCTTTGTAAGCAGCGCCTTCTTGCCCTTAGCATCACCAAACACAAATTGCGTGGATGATCCAACGGAACGAATAGGTAAATCCCACTGACCTGACTGCATCATCTTTTCGTTTGTAGACCCCTCATACTTCAGATGGTTCGTCATGTTACTGTTCTCGATTTTTGGTGGCCATATGAACTTAATTTGTATTTAGGGTTTATGTGTTAATTTTTCTACGCCTTTTTAGTACCGGTGCAGTTCTTGAGGATCGGTGATACTACCAAAGCCAGTGACAGATTAAAGATTGTTGATGTTAGTGACTTGTTGATGTCAGTTTGAAAAAGATATGACTTTTATGATGCAGATATACAAAGGGGGTTTATTCAGAAGTGCTACTGAACACAAAGAGCAAATTCGGTATTCCAGTCAACAAGTGAGTATTTTCTTATTATTTTTTTCGGTTAATAAATTATGGAAAATGATATATATATATATATATATGTATATATATATATGTATATATATATGTATATATATATATATATATGTATGTATTTATGTATATATATATATATATATTTGTGTTTTGTTATTTCAGGATCTTAGGGAGCTTTTCAGTATCCTAAAACAGGGTTTTGATGTTTCTTTAACTCAACAAGAGTTACATGAAGAGCATGATTATGAACACAAAATGTGTGTACTATGTAATTCATTCAAAATAAGGGTTTTTTTTAATGTGATTTGAATTATTAAATTTCTTCAAAACAATTTCTTTTGTTGTAGGGATGCATCTCTTAAATATCACACAAAGTTTTTTGAGTCTCTTGGTATAGCTGGAATTAGTAACCACAGTTTGCTTTTCTCAAAAACTGCTCCATTTCCTTTTGTGCAAGATGAAGAACTAACAAGGTGATATATGTATCCTTTTTACCCTTCAAGGGCATTTTAGTAAATTCATATTTTTGAATTTTTGTTTAAGTTCTTTGAATTGTTTTTTGGATTAGGCAATCAACTTATGTGGGAAACTCATCTTCTTACAACTCACATGAACCAAACATGGATGTCGTATGTCTTCTTAAATCTTCTTTTTACCTTAAAAGATATATTTTTATTTTGTTTATTTTATTTTATATTTCATTTGTAGGGGAGCTTAATTTGCTATCAATCCAAAGGATGTCATTCTATATTGTTTTCCAAAAAGTTTTTTTTTTTTAATTTGTTGGATTAAATTTTGTTGCGGTTTTTTTTTTAATTCATTTCAGTTTGTTTTTTGGGCCCATTTATGACGTATTTGCTGTTATTGATTGTTTCATGTTAAAAAGAAAACAGAAAACCTAACACATCAACATGTAGATGCTCGGTCAAAGGCCAGGTGTAAAAAGTGTCATAGTTAATGATTTTAAATTTTATATTATGAGCTTTAATGGTGTTTTTTTTTTTTTAATTTTGATTTGTTTTCAAGTTTGATGGTGTTGCAGCTTAGCCTAGATTAGGGAATAAGATATGACCATGTACCTGAAAACAACTGCATTCCTTTTGCTCAGGTAAACATAAATTGTCTATAAATGAGAGTATATATATGATGTATGTGATTATAAATGATACTTATTTTGTATTAATATTGATGATCTATTTGCCATTGTGTAATTATGTTTGTAGCAAAACAGTAAAACAAAGTTGGCATGAAACCAACCTTGCTTTGGAATATTTGGTCCATGAATCGCTAATCAAAGCTATCCGTTTGTTAATAACTTTAAATTGACCATTTTTTCCAAGTGACACACTATATCTTCGGGTTTTGTCCTATAGGCAGAATTTCTTTGGGTTTTGTTTCAAGGGCAGAATGGTCTTTTAGGGATTAAGGGACCAAAATCATTATGAGACATTAAAAAAACAAAAAAAAACGACTACTATAGCTCTTTTTTTTGTATTTTTTTTTTTTTTTTTGCAAATTTAAAGGTTTTCTTTTGCAATTTTGGTCTTTATTTTCTTTTGTAGTTATCATTCCATTTTTTTTTTCATTTCTGGTCCTTAAAAATATTTCTTTGCATTTTTGGTTCGAAAAAGTTTGTCTTTTGAAATTCTGGTCCTCATTTGAAGTTTTTGTAAGTTCTTTTTTTTTGTTCACCTTTGTCGCATGTCGCCTACACCACCAAAGCTACGTTTGTTTGTTTTTTATGCGGTGGTCTCTCCGATGCCGGTGATAGCGGTGTCTAGGAATCTGGGATTTTTTTCCTTACGGAATCCTTATCTACTCAAATTAGGTAGTTTCAAATCAATCGGTTTTAGATCAGCCTCATCGGGTGTATTAACAAAGTTTTGGAATCGATTGCTACAGATTGGAGGACATCAACAGGAAACCACACCTACGTTTACCTTCTCCGTTGAATTCTGCTTTGCCGGCGTAATTGGTTTGCTAGATTCAAAGACCAGTACATTCCTATCACTCTTCTATTCTTTGTAAACACTCTATTTCCTTCGTATGGTAACTATCCGTAACATATATGTTATATATTACATACTATTTTTATTGTTACAGAACTGTTTACCAAAATGTATCCGAAAACTTCCCATACATACTATTTTTATAGTCACAAATTTTTTATTCTAACATTTTTGGACCAAACTGCCCCTGCATACCGTTTTTATAGTTAAAAATTTTGATTTTAAGATTTATGGACCAAACTGCCACTGTATATTGTTTTTAAACTTAAAAAATAGTTTTAGACCAAAGTCCATTGCATACTAATTTTATAGTTTTTTTTAGCAGTTTTGGAATAAATTGCCCTTGCATAATGTTTTTATACTTAAAAAATTGAATTTAACAATTTTGGATGACAGCTTTTGCATACCGTTTTTATAGTTAATCATTTTTTTATTTTAATGGTTTTGAACTTAAATTGTTGTTGAATATATTTAAGTAGTAAATTGAGTAAATAGCGATATACTTTGCATTTTGTTTTTATTCCTTTGCCAACATTGGATAATAACATGCTGAAATCGTCTCTGAATTATTGAATTATACAGGTGATAGAAGTCCGTTTTCATTTTTTTTTACGGAAGTAGGATAATAATAATTTTCTTTGTGTTTTTCTAAATCAAATTTGAAAGTACATTCTATGTTCTGTGGACGTAATGAGATTTTTGTTATGCTAAAAAAGTTTGCTCCTAATTAATTCCTCTTTACTATAGGTACTACAAAACTAATAAGAATCATATCACAGTAAAGGGGATACTTTGATTTGCATATTGTGGAAACATGTACTAGGTATAAAATGAATGATTGCTAGAAACATGTACCAGGTATAAAATCATGTGTTTAAGTGAATTACATAAAATTAGTATTTAGTTGTCGTTCTTTACAATTAAGTTGGTAAAATGCATTTTAAAAACTTTAGTTGGATCATTTAAAATGTTTGAAACTTGGTAATCTCTTAGTGATTAACCACATGAGAAATTTGATTTACTTGATTACCTTATATCTCTCCATAGTGATATCAAATACCACTATGTGTGATAAAGGAGAATATTTAGAATTTTATAAAAATAGAGGAAAAGAAATCTAATATAGTGTAAAATCGAATCCAATTTTTTTTTTGGGTTAAAATTGATTGATTTTATCAGTAAGAAAAATGCATATAGTTTTTGTTATCGTTAACAGTTTTGTGACTAAACTACCCCTATGTAAGGTTATTTTGTTCATATTTTAATTTTGCTGAAAGGCCTGTCGCATCCCCCACCTGGTTATAATTTAAATGCAATATTTATTATACATTTCTAGTTTATTTTATCTACTAATTATAATTTAGATACAAATATGATCATAATCTTGATATTTATTATAAATATAATATTATTTATTTAATAATTATTTATAATAAAGTAATAATTAATTTAAATTTATTATATATAAACATTTTATTTATGATAATACAATTTGAAATATTTTTGTAGCAAAAAAATATAATATATATTTGTTAAAATCTAATTAGTAGAGGGGTGTATTTGATAATATATATATATATATATATATATATATATATATATATATATATATATTTACTATCTTATAAAAGAAATCTTACTATTTCTATAAATAGATTCAATTTAATAATAATATTTTTTAAGACGTTCAAGTCTCTAAGCTTAAAGTACAACTAATCACTAATATAATAATAATATAATATCTATTTCCTTTGAATTAGTATTTTCAAGAATTTAGAAACAACCTTTTATCCCGTGATTGAGTCTTCGTTTGACTCCTAAGATCTCGCCAAAGATCACTTCTCTGGTATCTATGTAAACACATTCCTGCATAAATCTACCCTCACTACACCATAATCAAATACACTTTTCTGCAATTGGATCTCTACTAAACAGTTCCTCAGGATGTATTGTGTTCTTTTCTCTCTTTGATTCCGATCTCTGCGTTTGTCGCCATCAGAACATCGCCGTCCTTAGTCTCTATTACCAATAACAACTCTAAAACCCTAATCCATAAACTACAAAGAATAATTATTCTTTTCTAGCCACAGTGAAGCTAGGTATGATCTACATCTCTCTCTTTTTGGTTTTCTTTTTTTCATTGTCAGATTTGTGTTATTCCATTGGACCTCTCTTTCTCTTTCTCAATAAAAACCCATCACCTGCCACGACATGTCTCCCTTCTCCGCCATATATACTTATTCTTTTCTAGCCAGCACGGTTTTTTGAATCTTCAATGAGTGTGACAGGAAGGTGAACCGAATGGAGGTGTAGGAATGATAACTGAAGTCATGAAGAGGAACAAGAACAGGGACGTAGTAGGGTTTAAATGTTTAATGCAATAAATATACAAACTGCTTTGGGCTGATTTGCTATTTTGATGTTATCTTGAGACTATTTAGGTGCAACAAGGTCAGTAGTAGGGTTTAAATGTTTAATGCAATAAATAACAATATACTTTCTCTTATTTGTGTATTAGAAAGTATGTTGTTGTTTTTTAGCATAAAAAAATTTATATAAAAGGAATAGGCTTAAAAGTTTATCAAATGATTGAATTTTGTTGAAGGGCATACATGGATGTTCATTAAGATCTGGAAGAAAAAATTGCAACTTACTTTGTAAAATACATTAAACTTGGATCTTATTTTTTCAGCATCATATTTACTTGGTTTCTTTAAGTCTAAAGAAATATTTAGTAATCTGACTTTTTTTGTTTGATGTTAACCATTTTGGGTTGTTGTTTGGAGACTTATCGAAGTACATTACCATCAGAAGTTGAAGTTGATGTTTACTTGTTTTTGATGTTACTGTTTTGATTGAATCTAAATTTTCCCTTAATTGGACGAGTTTGCCCTTGATGATGATTTGGAGTTGATGACGTTACATAGAGTTGGTGGTGGTTTGTCTATAACTTAAATTCAGTTGAGTAATAAATATTTTCCATGATTTGGACTATTTGGCTCTTAAGATAGGTTTCAATTCCACTTGCTAAACTTAATTTTTCCATATATACTGCCATTGTTCTTATTTGGCTCGACAAATCCGTTGTCTTTTTTTGGGGATTGCCTCAATTCACACTAATAGCAATAGGAATCAATATTTGTAATTGTTTCATTTGATAATGCTACTTTTACAAAATTTATGGTTAGCTATTTTTTTTTTTTATAGAAATAGAACTTTTTTTTTATCTTCTTTTCAATGGTTATCAATTACGTTTTTGATAGTAAATTCATACAACTTTCAACAAGAATTGCTAAGAGTTATCCTACGAATCATGAAGTAATTAGTTAGACTAATTGTAGATTCATGAATGAGTTTAGTTGGATACTTGATGTAATTTCTAGAATGATATTATTAATAATCATTTGCATTTAGTCATTTATACAAGGCTATTCACTTTCTTAAAATTTTAAACTTATTATCATATTTCAATCGGCCATATTTGAGGTTTGCTAACTTTTTTTTATTGCTTAGTGGTTCGAAATTTAGTTCATTGGTTTTTGTTATTGAAGTGTTGAAGATTTTAATGTCTACTGAAGTGTTGAAGCGCTTAATATGAAGTACCGGTTTGCATTTTCTATTAGTCATTTCAGTAATTAATGGTGGAGTTCAACTTAGTAATAGATTTGATAATCTATAATAATTTATTCAAACAAATAACAGCAACATATATTCGTTTAAAAAAAAACATGTTGTAGCTTTTGACACTCTTGCCAAAATATCAATAGAGAAATAGACTGTTGAACCTTTCATAATGTTTTGTATTTATGCATTACAATTTTATATTTTTTACGAGCTTTTATTATACTTAGGTTTTTAGTCTTATATATATATATATATATATATATATATATATATATATATATATATATATATATATATATATATATATATATATATATGTCTGATTGTGTTGAATTTATGTGTTGTATTTACACGTACTAGAAATGATCATTTTAAAATCCAAGTTATTCTATTTGATAAAAATATATGTTTAATTGCTAACTGTTTTCCTTAAAATATGCTACCATGATACATTAATAATGTTCAACCATGGCTTATTTTGTTTTTTTAGTGATTAGCAATTTTAGATTTCGGCTTTCGGTTTTTGTCTACGAGTTATCCCAAATCAATTCATCCTAAGACAATCTTGTGACCAAAGGAATCTAGACAAGAGAAGGCTGGTGACACGATAAGAGCAACTACGGGATGAAGGTAGCATTGTCCCTTCAAATATTTTTTCTCCAAATGTCAAAAGGAAATTATTTGAAGAAAGGAAACTACTTAACGCCTGAAAAGTATTTTCCGAAATGAAACTAATTTCTGTCTATTCATAAAAACTCTAAGAACTTTATATGCGTCGCAATTTAGGATAATCAGAGCATATCAGAACAATGTGTCCAACCTTTGTGGGATGCCATCACATTTCGATACATTGAAATAAATACAATCGCCAAAATAAACTATTTGATGAAAGGAAATTATTTTTGCCGTAAAATTGACTAATAACATTAAGTATTTATTTTGTGTTCAACTAAATATAATATATTTTTGAATAGAACTAATTATCGAAAGAACCTAATTGTCGAACGAAACTATTTGTCACCGTTGCTTTGCGCGGGTAGACGGCTAGTATATATATATATATATATATAAGTTATAAAAATGAAATATTATAGGAATATATTTTTTGGGGTTAAAAATATGATTGAAAATGAAGTAGAGTTGGAGATGAAATACTATTTATCCAATTCTTTTACTTAATTTATAGAGTAAAAAGTAGAGATGGATTGGTGATGGTTCTAGAGTTCTTAATCTTTTATGGTTCTCACTACCACCTAAATTGACATCAAACTAGCTAACAAATAAATGCTATTTCTGTGATATTTGAAATCATGTATTTATTGAAATTTCAATTTTAAGGATCTTATATCTTGGCTCTTCCTGCTACATAATGTATAAGTACAACCATAATTATTGATTATCATTACAACTTAGTAAACAATTTAGATGTTTGTTTGACCTAAAGATTATTATTACTTTTAGAGAAAATAACAAAAATAACAATTTACACTAATTACATTACAAAAATAGCTAAAAAAAACCGAAGTTGCAAAAATAACCATGAATTTCGCAGATGGAATAGTTCCATCTGTGAAATGGGCTTTCCATCTGTGAATGTACACGTTAAGATGTAGAGAGAGAAAAAGAAAGAATGGAAGAAGAGATATTTAATTGGCTTAATCTCCCGTTACAAAATGTCATCACAGCAACGAGAAGCACCATGACACCAATGGGGAAATAGTGTTTTCCATGTTATGAAACCGTTAAGGTATATCCACGTAGGCAAAATCATCGTTGTCTAGTCTCATACCCACTGCTCTAAGAGATTTTACATGTTTTCAACAAAACATGAATATAATAAGTGACCTCTCTCTTCACAACTTTGAGAGAGTATCGAATTTTGCGATCTCAAAGTATACAAACAACACAATAAATAGAACCAAACACAATGATTTGATTTTTTTGCAACTTTTATACACCTCAAAACTTCCCATAAAGAAAATTTTCAAAACCACGTTTTAAAAAAAAAACATGTATTGAAACCAATATATATTTCGAAGCTCATTTTATGGTAAAATTTTGGTTGTTTCGTTACACAATGTATTTTATAAATTAATTAAAATTTTGCATGTAACAGTTATTTCTGTAAATAAATCATTAAATTAAATTAAAAATAATGATATGTTGATGAATATCACAAGTTTTAATAAAATAAGATTTTAATTTTGGATAAAAATATGCAATTGAGATATATATTAATTTAATAATTAACCATCTTTCAAAGAAGACGATGTTAATAATTCTATTTATCTATTATAATAAATAAAATTATTTTTTCCTACTTGTCAAATTATTAATTATTTTGTCATATATCATTTTTTTCCATCTCAAATTAAATTTTTTCCATGTTATTTTATGGTATTTTTTCCATTTTATTAAAGAGAAATTAAATATCATCTTATTTTTTCTTTTTATTTATATTATTATCTATGTTACATTTTAATATAATTTATTATATTTTAAAACACTTATTATCATTTTAAATGATAACAAAATAATTAGAAAGAAAAGTAAAAGAATATTTAATTTCTTTTAAATTTCATATAGTATTTAAATCTAATAATAAATGTTTATCAATTATATTAATGCAACTTTTCTTCTAATTCAAAATTTTCTAAATTAAACCTAAATTATTTCATTTGTGTATTTATTTAAATTATTTTAATTTTAAGAAGTGAACAGTTCAATTTCAATAATTCAATAATTTTTATTTTTTTTATAAATTCAAACTTTTAAATGTTTAAATCTTTATTTTTTTTAATTAATCCATATAATATACAGAGGTAGATCTTTATTAGGGTCTGGTTTTTTTTTACAATTAACCCTCTACTTTAAATTTATTTATATTAGATTCAAAAATATAAAATTTTGGCCATAACCCCTCTCTCATCGATTTTTATACATATTATATTTCTAACCCCAAATCAATAGTTGAAGCTCCGCCTCTAATAATATATATGTCATACAACTAATTAAATAATATTAAAAATCTAACGTACGAACTAACATTTTAAAAGTGACCAGTTTAAACCTAAATTTGGTATCCCGACCGTGACTTGTGACTTGTGAGTGGAAGAGTGTTTAGAAAGAAAAAGGGAATATGACTTATCAAGGTAATTAACTTTTCGTTATGTTCACATCTGGGTAATTATCTTTTTTTTTATATATATCTAGGTAACAAACTTTTTGGAAGTGTTCACATATGACCATTATGACCTGCTATAGCAGGTTAAATCCTAGATGTGAACGCTTTCAACAAGTTTGTTACCTAGATGTGTACAAAAAAAATAGTTACCCAAATATGAACAAAACGAAAATTAAAAATTAAATTACATGAATGGTCCCTGTAGTTTGGGGGACTTTGTGGTTTTGGTCGCTAATTTATATTTTTAACTTAAATGGTCCCTACTGTTTATTTTTGTTGCGCGTTTGGTCCCCGTCTTACCTAAAAATACTATTGTGCCCTTATTAATTTATTTTTTAAATTAATTTTATTATCTATGTATTTATTTTTTACATATTTAAAAAAATTAATAAACCACATATATTTGTATCTCCTCGGATGATCTCTACTGTTTATTTTTAATTAAATTTTTTTTAACTCGGATGATCCTTGCTGTTATTTTTGTTACGCGTTTGATCTATGTGTTATCTAAAAATAGTATTTTTCCCTTATTAATTTTTTTAATTAATTTTCTTATTTATGTATTTATTTTTTATAAAAAAAAATTAATATACCCCACATATATGTATCTCATCACCGTAAACCTGAAACCATATTTGAGAAATTTAATTTGAGTCTTACAATTCACCATCTCATCTCTGATCCTCTCAATCTTCTATTTCTTTTCCATCTTTAGTAACATCGACGTCTTCACCGTCTTTTTTTTTTTTGGTACTTCAACTCTAACAAACCAACACCATAACCTGTCGTCTCTTCATCTTTAGTGGGTTGTGGTGTTGATTCAACGGAGTTGAAGGACCGAAAAAAGAAGTGATGATGAAGACGTCGATATCACTAAAGATGAAAAATAAATAGAAGTTGAGAATGATGAAAGATGGGATGGTGAGGAGATACAGATATGTGAGGTCTACTAATTTTTCTTAAACATATAAAGCATAAGTACATAAACAAGAAAACTAATTAAAAAAAATTAATAAGGGGACAATAGTCTTTTTAGGTAAGACAGAGACCAAGTTCGTAACAAAATTAAATAGTAGGAACCATCCGAGTTAAAAAAAATTAAATTAATTAAAAAATAAATAGTAGGGATCATCCGAGGAGATACAAATATGTGTGATCTATTAATTTTTATAAATATATAAAAAATAAATACATAGATAAGAAAATTAATTAAAAAAAAAAAACTAATAAGGGCACAATAGTATTTTTAGGTAAGACGGGGACCAAACGTGCAACAAAAATAAACAATAGGGACCATTTAAGTTAAAAAATAAGTTAGCGACCAAAACTACAAATTCCCCCAAACCACAGGGACCATTCATGTAATTTAATTTTTACTTTTTGTTTTGTTCATATTTGGGTAACTATTTTTTTTGTACACATGTAGGTAACAAACTTGTTGAAATCGTTCACATCTAGGATTTAACCTGCTATAGCAGATCATAATGGTCATATGTGAACACTTCCAAAAAGTTTGTTACCTACATATATACAAAAAAAAGATAGTTACCCAGATTTGAACATACCAAAAAGTTAATTACCTTGATAAGTCATATTCCCAAAGAAAAATGTGGATGGAATATGTTGGCTTGATTTGCGCAAAGACGTGCCAGCAAACAAAAAAAGCAAAGATAATATTTATAAAATTGAAAAAAAAAAACAAAAAAAACAAAAAAAACTCATCAAATTTTTTTCTTCCAACAATAAGATGCTCCCAATCCCCCAGTCCACAACCATACGTTGTTAATGATAATATTAAGAAAAATATTTATTATATATACTTACGACTAAGTGTGAGACTTATGTATTACATGAGTTTATTTGGAAGAAAATTAAATACAAAATACTAAGCATTTGAGAAATATTAATTTATAAAAAAAATAAAATATTGAATTATAAAAATTAAAGTGTTTTTTTCTCTTTTAAATTTAAACAAATAATAAAGTAAATTAACGAATCTTTAATTTAGTAATTTTGAAATTAAAATGAAAATTTACTAATAAAATTGATATGTATTTATTATTGCATATAAATACTATCTAGAATTTAATAAAATGAAAAAACTATAAAATAACATGTGAAATAAAAATTAATTTAAAATAACCACAAAATTATGTGTAGCAAAATAAATGAAAATGTAACATGTATCAAAAAGATCTTTATTTGTACGGAGGATTTGAAAGAAATATTAATATTGAAATGCCAATTAATATTGAATTAAAAAATGATATTTCAAATTTAAGAACGGTAAATTAAATTCTTTGTTTCGTAAATCCATAGAACGATTAAAATCAAATTTAAGAATGGTAAAATTAATTCCGTAGAATGATTTTCATTTGTAAACTGTCCATTAAACAAAGAACATCACAACTTCAAGCGCACAAGGTAGTACTTATTAACTAATACTCCTTCCGTCCCAAATTGATATTCCAGTTTTGATTTTTGAAATTTTTTTTCTTCAACTTTGACCTTAAATATTTTTATTTGTATTATATATTACTTGATAAAACTTATAACAATGAAAAAACATTTAAAATACAATCCGTTCATATATTTTGAATCAAGTATTATCTATCAAAAACAAAAATATTGATGCTTAAAATTGAAGAAAAAAATTTCAAAAATCAAAAATGGACTATCAATTTTGGACGGATGTAGTATATATATATATATATATATATATATATATATATATATATATATATATATATATATATATATATATATATATACAGAGAGAGAGAGAGAGTTAGGTTCAAATGTTTTTAGCAACTATTGTGTGCCTAAATGCACCAATGACAATTCAAGAAATAATAAATAATTAACTAAATCATTAAAGGGTATTTTGGACATTTTGTACTTTTATTTAAGGAAATTATTTAATTGAGAAATCATTCAATTAAGGAAATAAACTAATCATTCAAGTAAGGAATTAAACTAAATATATTTGACCTAGTTATGTTTGTGGCTGAACACTTCATTACCGACATCAACACCATCACCATCAACCTAGTTATGTCAACGAGGCCAAAGGGAAAAGGTTGTGAAGAAGTCGAGGTCTTCGTCTTCAGTTGATCGGGGAAGAAACCAAATTAAAAATGCAAACCGAGGTGGGGTATCGGAGTTGGCGAAGCAGCTCCGCCGAGGGAGGGATAGCCGGCAGGAAGGGCTGCGTCGGTGATCTCTTTTCTTTTCTGGTTCGATCGGTATCCACTCACGAAAGGGGAGAAAGGACTTCGGTCCTATGTCTTTGTCTGCTCGAGAAGAGAAACTTGGTGGGAAGCAGTCACAAGGGTGGTTCTATGGTGCTCGTGGATCGCTGCTTCTTCTTCTCCGGTGAACTGTGCCAACAGGTAAAAGAAAATTCTTTTTCTTCTTTTTGTTTTTGTTTGATTGCTTGATAGAAATCAAAGGAAAGAATTTGTGTTTGGGTTTTCGTGGAAAAATTGATGATAATGAAAGGGATATGGGTTTGATTGTTTGAACATAACTCATGGTTTGTTTGGGTTTTGGTATTTGACAGGGGAATTCATGGGTGTTTGTTTCTTGTGTTCTTGACTGGGAACGAATGCATATGTGTGTTGACGATTCAACCGGCGTTTGTTTTTGTCGTTGATGGTAGTTCAAGTGAGGATGAACTTCAAGCACTTAAGAATGAGTTGTTGTTGATTGTTGCATAGTTTCCAGAAAATGCCATGGTGGGGCTGATTGTTTTTTATTCAATGGTGAGGGTGTATGATCTTGGGTTTACTGAGTGTGTACGGGTGGTTGTCTTACATGGTGAACGCAATCCTTCTTCTAGCCAGGTATTCCAGATTCGTTTCTTTTCTGTTCATTTTCATCTTCTTCTTTACCTTGCTGTGAATTATGAATACATACTCTAGTGTTTACTAGGAATGAATGCATATGTGTGCTGATGATTCAATCACAGCTATTGAATTATGTATTCAATCATAGCTCTTGAATTATGTAATGTATTCTATTAGAATTTATTTTATATAGATGTATTCTGTTAGAATGTTTGAGAATAATTGTCAACAAGTACATTCTGTCAGAATTTATAGCTTGTATTCTCTTAGAATGCATTGAATTTTTTAATTTTTGAAACTTGATTATGTTTTCTTTGTGGATTTAGGTTTTGAAGAGGCTAACATTGATGTGGAGGAGGAAGAAAACATAGAGAACGGGAGTGTATTATACCATAATGTGTTATGCTACAATGTATAAAGTGTTGCTAAAAAATAATATTCTATTAGAATAGATTAGTGTTTTTGTTAGATTGTGATGTTTTTTTTTCCTTTTTTCTTTCAGAATGTTGTTATTATTCAATGAAATATAATCATACAATGTAATTATTTCGATATTATTAGTTCAAGAATTTATTTTGTGTATTCTTTTTAGAATGTATTTACTAGTTTATGGTTGGCATTCTGTCATTCTAACATAATATAATCGACGAATATATTTACTAGTTTATAGTTAACATTCTATAATTCTGATAGAATAAAATCGAATTTCTAATTTTGAATTAATTTAAAATATTCATATTTTTAAAAATAAAGGAATTAATTATCCTTAAAAATCCGAAAATTTCCTTTTTTAGTATAGGTTAATTGACCAAAATGTCCTTATGCTGAAATTTGTGTGATTATATGGTATATGTTATGCTATTCTACTATCATAGACCCTCAGATCATTACCTTTGATTATATTTTATCCGATGGTCTAGATCTGTGCATTCTAGCACACAATAATTACTAGAAACAAAATAACCTAACCATATATATATATATATATATATATATATATATATATATATATATATATATATGTAATTGTAATGTTTTAAAAGGATCATAGCATATGTGTCTATAACTCTATATTATAATTAACAATTATAAAATTAATTAAACTTTCATATTAAAAAATCAAAATTATTAACCAATTATTTTAAATAAATTATTATCTAAGAGATATTTTTTTAGTTATATAAAGTTATAATCGTTGATTTAAACCGACACGTGAAATTATATCAATTTATAATTTGTATTAATTTTATTTTATTTTTTAATCTAATGTTATTAATTTAATATAATCAGAATGAAAATTTTTAAAATTTAAATTGGATAATCAATTATTAATTTAATATAATTAAAGTGAAAATTTTGAAATTTAAAATTGAAAATTAATAAGTTATAAGTTGCATGATATATGACATATAATATTAACGAAAAAATTTAATAGTATCGACATTTGTCGATAGAACAATTTTTTTTTCATTTAGAATAAAAATATATTTATATTACTATGAGTTTGGATGATTAGATTAATTCCTACAAATATTAATATAACTTCCATTTAGATACTTTTTCTTTAACATTAATTTTCAAATTACAAACTCTATTTTGTTATTTAGATATAAAATTTATTTTAATGTTATTAACAATTTAAGTCCCTTTATTATAAAATCACGCACCGTCTACGATTGAATTGTTTTCGATATTCGCATATCGGTGATAATTTATATAAAATTCTAGATTATACGATAAACTTATAAACTAAAAAATAGTTTTTTTTCCTACATCGTTTGATAATACATCAAGTAACGTCACATCTGAACTACTAAAGCTTAAATATAAATCGATTTGTGACGATATATTTTTTCAATAGTCGATGTGTTGCACATCATTAGCTTAATTGTGCAAGACGAACTATATTGCATTGAGGGTGTAAAAGAAACTTTCAAACAAATGTTTCGTGATATATTTACTTTTAGTAATGCTTGATATCATAAAACTTTCAAACATATGTTTCGTGATATTTTTAGTTCTAGTAACGCTCGATATCATAAATATATGAAGTTTTGTGTCGATACAAATATTCTTTTCTTAAGCCAGAACTAGGATGTACCTACTGGATTGAAATCCACTTGTAACATGTTTGAATACACTTTATGTCAAAGTTATACTTTAAAATGTTATATGACAACCTCTTGGAACATAATTAAGTTCCAACCTATCTGAAGTCGAGTTGTCATACGTCCAAACTTGTTGTCGAAATGGTTTGAGTTTTTATTTTATTCATTTATTTTAAACAACTAATTTCTTTTTGGGAGTTTATTATGCTACAAGTTACTTAGTTTTAAATCAAATATTTTTAATGTGTTAAAATTAAACGAGTTGGAAATGAGGGGCGAAATATTTGAACAAATGGTGAAACGATGAAACAGATGAAAACAAAGTTTATAAAATTCAAAAATATGCCCTCGTTATAATTTGTGTTGCCATTTTGAACTCAACTCTAAATGTTGTCTCGGTCGAGACTTTACTTCATAACACTTACTATGATTTTGGTTTATCATAAGAAGATGAAGTTTTTTCTTCAACATAAATATCATAATTTAACAAAGTTTAACAAAATATGGTTTGACAAACATTCATAACATTATGCGAAGTTTGGGGCATCCTGATCAACTTCTCACGATAATAGCGAATCAATCTGACTCTACAATATTTTAAGAAATGAAAATAGCAAACGAGTTCGGTCTAGCACCCTGAACAGCAAGCTCAGATAGCAATGACCACAAGGACGGGGAATAAAAGGGACCTTAGTCCTCATCTATATCACTGAATCCTCATTCTAATCTCCATCCTCATCACAGTTTTCAAGTGTGAATTTAAATGAATTGTCATCCCCACCTTCAACGGGGACCGGGGATCCCCAAAGGGTAATTGGAACTTTATTCTCTTTTAATATGAAAACTTTTACGTAAAGAAAAACTCTAAATTTCAATTTTACCAACATACGTTTAAATATTTTAATAAACATAAAAATATTCATAGATTACATAAAAACTATAAATAAATTTTCTACCAAATTTAAACACATACATGACAAATCAAGTATAAAAAAATTATCATAGTAACATTTGAGATAAAATAGATAAAACAAGGATTAAAATAACTATATACAATGTTAAATTAGATAAAAGAAGGAAAAATGCATTTTCAATCAAGTAATTATGAGTTTGTTATTTGGACAAACTTTTAGGTATTGTAAATTATATTAAAAATATATGCTTTGTATTATATATATATATATATATATATATATATATATATATATATATATATATATATATATATATATATTAAAAATATATGCTTTGTATTATATATATTGGGGTTGGATTCTGGGATATCCCTATCCTCATCCCCACTTTTTTATTCAGGGATTTTCCATTCGTGTCTCCATCCCTGGTCAACTTAAGGATTTTCCGATCAAAACAGGTGCGAGTTTCGGGTTCCTCATCGGGTATGAGGTGTTTTGTCATCCTTAAGCTCAGAAGGTACATTGAATCCAATTTTTTTTCTTGGAACATATAAGTATACACGAGTTTGAGAATTTGAATGTTTTGGCTAAAGGAAAGAAAAATAATTCTGAAATTTGATTTTAGCCGCTATGTCATGTACTAATCGTCCAAACTTCTAGCATAGCTTCATAATCTTTTTTTTTTTTTTTTTTTAAATGTTAGTGAGTTTATTTTAATGACAATGCTAGCTATATCACATAGAAAGACAAAACTCGTCCCTTTGATGGTAGAAGTGTAAATATGCTTCAAATACTAATTACATGAGTGGATCGAATACAAATGTTTCACAACTTGAAAACAAATTGTTTAGTTTTGAATAAGAAATCCATGATGAAGAAATAACGATGAGAAAGCTGGTAATACACTAACACTTACCATACAAGAGCTTGTTTATGCTTATGAAGATGATTTAAACAACATGGCAGAGAATGACTAAATCTAAACAACAAATAGTTTATAAACAACAGCTACAACATATCAACATCAACAAACCACTTGGGTTGTGGTGACTTGGTAAGGCATGTGGAAGATATGGTGGATAACCTATTGACCCATGTTCAAATCCTGGCACTACTAAGCCCTTGTGGCCATGGAGGTTCGCCTGCAGTGACTCCAGGGCATGAGACAAAGCCTCATGTTTGCAGCGGGGGATTAGTCGGTGCGCGAAAGCTGGTCCGGAAACCCTCGTTAGGGAAGTTACCTTTCCAAAAAAAAACATCAACAACAATACCTATTTTCGATAATGTTTTTATGTTTCTATATGTATTTTTTTGATGAATCATGTATATTTATGAAAAACAACTAAAAAAAAAAAGAAGAAAAAAACCAAGAACTGTTTTAAAAATTCACATCACAGTGAGCACCTTAATTCTTCTAATTTCTATTGTTTTTTTTTTTTTTTTTTCAAACTAGTTACGATCACCTATGATCCGGTTTCTAAGGTTTCAAGTATTTTTCGGTTTGAACCGGTTTCTGATCAAACTGGTTTTGAGTTCGTTGACTAAAACGGAATCGGTTTTAAAGTCAATCTAATTTCTCAAAAAATCTGATTTGTGCACCTCTACCGTGAAGGGAGTGGGTGGAGCCGCCTAGTTATAACCCAATACAATACAGCTAAATACGTTTTAGTCTTTACTCATTTATTTGTACCAAGGAACCATAAAATTTTGTAGTCCAGTATCTCATTAGTCTAGAATTGGGCTAGATCCATATTTCCTTATTAGGGGCTTCCGATAGTCCTATGAAAACATCACATTCATTTTGGAATGGATACACTATGGGGTTAATCCGTTAATGTCATACATGGATCAAAAGATTTAATCAGTTTCGTTTATTTTATTTTATTTTTATTATTGTATTGAATTAATATGGGTCTAACATAAGAACATAGCTAATTAGCTATGCATGGGAACAGAGAGAACCCCAAAAAGTCTAACATAAGAACATAGCTAATTAGCTATGCATGCAATGTGCTTTTTAACCCAAAACAAACAAATCATTTTCAAAAAGAGAAACATGTAATCGATTCTGTAACTTGAGTCCCAATTAAAGAGAGCCATGATTCATCTATTAGATTCACGGTTTGCGAAAAAAAAAAAAAAAAAGTTAATATGGAGACAAACTCAATACAGAAAGAATTTTATATAATTAATAGCTTAGTACAAAAAGTAAGTATGATAAACCATATCTTTTCACTAGTGTCATTTGCATCAATTTTATATGCCTCCTTCTCAATGTATGCATCCGAACAATCATTCATCAATTGATCTCCGTTTTGTTATACAGTCCAGCACAATCTTCATTGCTGAATTGGATCTTTTGACTTTTAAGTAAAGCCGTTGATACGAGTAAAACGAAAAAATGGCTCATTGCTAAATGAACTAATTTTTCCTTATTGAATGATGAGAAAGAATCCTATGGGGATTAAGCAAGCCATGCAATGTAAT